AATTAAAATTAATAATATAAAATAAATAAAAAATATAAACGATATAAAAGAAGTTATAAAAGAAAAGTTAGAAAAGAAAAGCCATGCACTTGTGGGCTCTGACAGCAGGGTTTCTATTATTTATTTATTTATTTGCTTATTTTATACTGTTAATTTTAATTTTATATTATTATGTTTGTAACTCAGTGTATTTTTTGTATTTTTGTATTTAATGGTAATTTATTATGTTCTATTGTATTTCAATGTATTTTATTGTGTTGTAAGCCGCCCCGAGGCTTTGGCAAGGGGCGGCATAGAAATGTTGTAATAATAATAATAATAATAATAATAATAATAATAATAATAATAATAATAGGAAGGAAGGTGGCTCAGGGCAGCGCACTGCCGCTTTTTAATCCGCCCGTGCCCGGCGCTGGCTCCGGCGTTGAGCGGCTCTTCTCGCGTCCTGCCAGCAGGTGGCAGCAGGCGGCTGGGTTTGGTCTTCGCGAGCTTGCGAAGCCAGCGCAGACTCCGTTGACGCACGTCTTTGGCAAAGCTCAGTCAATATACTCGGTGCTTTTTTTGTAAGGATAAAGGTGCCGGAACTCACATCTTGTTAATCTTTTATTTAAAAAATTACATGTTCAGTTCTTAACATGAATTTAATTTATTGTATTTAAGGCAGAGGTTCATAGTAAATTCCAAAGTTTAGTCCAATTCTCGTCCGACAAATCTCGACTCCTTTCCCTGCTGTTTGCATCTATGTGTTCTGTCATTGCGTCTGTTAATATTCTGGCCTTCTTATTAGCAGGGCTGATGGTTGAGAAGTAATTAGTATTTTTTTTTTTCATTTTAAAATTTGGGGTCACACTTTTACACTAAAAATTAAAAGATTTTCAATTCACCAACTTTTTTAAAAAAAAATTATTTACCTTTCGCATGTAGTCAGTCACTGTACACACACCCACACACATCAGTTGTGTAACGAAACATAACAGTTGCCGCCCGCAGTAAGCACTCAGCGCATGGCCACACAACCAATCACAAGCCATGCGGCGCCACAAGCCGAGCAGCGCCATCACAACCAGCGCGGATGAAGTGCGCATGCATCAGACTCGACACACAAGCAGTCCGCATGCACCGTTTTAATGATTTTGCTGCCAACGTGCTATGCTCAACAGGGCGATTCAAATCCATGTGGACCAAACATCAAATTTACTTTTAAATTTTAAAGTTACTTTTAAAACTTGGAAAATCCATCAAAAAAGGTGCCGGAACTCTGTTCCGGTGTGTTCTATGACAAAAAAAGCACTGAATATACTTAAAGAGAAAGAAATGGCCGTCTGCGCTTTGCAAGTCTGGCCTTTGCCACCTTGAAAGGTAACATCTTTAACAAGGCAGCAGCGTTTTTTAAAATAAACTTAGACTGAAAAGAGTTTTACAGGGCCTTAAAATTTAACAAATTTTTGAGGCATAAACTCTGGCGGGTCAGAACTGGCTTCCCTCAGAGGCATGTGGCGGCTGGCTGAGGGAGCATGTGCGCATTCCCTGGCGTATTGTGGGGGATTAAAATGGCAGCTCTGGGCAATTGCCTGGCATGGCTCCCAATGGTGCAGCAGCCCCTGTGGTGAGAGCTAAGCCTCCTTTGCCCTGCCGTTGGGTGAGGGGGTCCCCCAAAAGATGTTTTATCCGGGTCCCCCTTCTGCATGCAGACCTTAGAAACATAGAAACAGAGCGAGTCAGAAGGGGCCTCCCGGGCCATCTAGTCTGACCTCCGGCACCAGCCGGCTCCGCTCACGACATGCCCACCATGTGGACCTCCAGCCGATCCTTGAACACCCGCACCGATGGGGCCTCAACGACCTCTTGTGGACGCCCATTCCACACCCTTAACCGCAGTATGAAACAAATCCCCATCAACACCCCCTTTTTGTCCTCTGTTTTTGGAATATATACATCTGCTTAGCTTGATTTGTCTGAGGAAGCCGACTCTGGCTTATGAAGGCTCAAATTTCAGCATACCACAAGACTCCTTGAGGTTTTAAACATTTTCCTTCCAACCCATTCACAAATGTGGATGTCCTGAGGAGGCGGGGCCCTTCGTTTGCACATGTGTGCCAAGCAACATGGGCACTTTTGTTTTCTTCTGCAGGATGGGCCTGAGACCAGGGCCTTCCCAGGCCTAGCACCACCCCGGCAGTAAATCGTGAGCAATCGCCCAGTGTGTGCTGAGTCATGGTGTTTTGCTAGTCCACTTCTGCCTTAATTCTTAAGCAGACTGCTGGGTTTGGCCATCCCTTCTGGAGTGTGCTCCAGTGATTTCAAGAGCACACACTGGGGAAGTTATATGTGAAAATCCCCTGTTGATACAGATTTGTATGAATAGAGATTATGGGCAAGCTGTCACAAAGGCAAAATAAGTGATCTCGCTGCATTGACTCCGCCGGCGCTCATGGATCCCGCGGGGCTGGTCTCTTCTAACCTCGTTGTGCTTTGTAAGGGTGAAATGCAGCAACGGTCTTTTTGGCTGGATCTTGAACGCTCGCTTCTGAGGAGGAAGTGGGAGGTGCCGCTGTTACGGCCAGATCCATCCTTGCAGGGCTGGCACTTGCTGGCTTGTCCCCTGGATATTTGTAGCGCAAATACCCCAGGTTTGTGCCATCTGCACAGAGCCAGAGTCAGAAAATACATTTTGACCTCTCGCTGAGGACTTCCTTCTCTCTCTCCCTCGCATTCCCATACATCCTTAGCTTGCAGAAATGCACACCCATGTATGAGAAAGGGGAAGACAGGGGAGAGAAAAAGTTCAAATATTTATCCGATGATGAAAACCAGTGTAGAAACCTGTTCAGGACATTTTATCAAGCATAAATAATGCTTTGTTGTTCCATCTTTATTGACACATCAGTCAAGCAAAGCAGG